GCTGGGACTACAGGCATGGGCCACCACATCTGGCTAATTTAAAAATTTTTTTATACAGTCAGGGTCTCACTATGTTGCCCAGGTTGGTTTCAAGCTCCTGGCCTCAAGTGATCCTCCCTCCTCAGCCTCCCAAAGTGCTGGGATTATATTATAGGCATGAGCCACCACGCCCAACTACACCAGTGACTTCAAACTGGAGGATTCCTAATTCTCCTTAGGAGGGAATCCCAATAGCTAAGACAGTGGGAGGTCTTGTTCTAACATTTACCTGAAAGCAGGATTTTATTCCCAAATGTATTTTATTTACTTTATTATTATCACTTTGAGATGGAGTTTCACTCTGTTATCCAGGCTGGAGTGCAGTGGTGCAATCTCAGCTCACTTCGACCTCTGCCTCCTGGGTTCAATTGATTTTCCTTCTCTACCTTCCTTGTAGCTGCGACTACAGACGTGCACCACCACACCCAGCTAATTTTTTGAATTTTTAGTAGAGACAGAAGTTTCACCACGTTGGCCAGGTTGGTCTCAAACTCCTGACCTCAAGTGATCAGCCCACCTCGGCCTCCCAAAGTGTTGAGATTATAGGTGTGAGCCACCACTCCTAGGCAACTTTTAATTTTTTTAAATATCAAACTTGCAGAAAAGTTGAAAAGCAGTTTAAACACCCATTTACCCTTCACCAATTATATGTAGATACATTTTTGCTGAAGCATTTGGAGTAAGTTGCAGACAGAGGGTCACTTCACCCCTAAACACTTCACCTGCGTCTCCTAAAAGAAGAACATTCTCTTACATAACCCAGTACCATCATCACAATGAAGAAATTTAGCACTTAATATGGATACAATAATATTATCTAATAATCTCTATTTTTAAGAAAATCTTTCTCTTTCATCTTATCAAATTTTTATTTAAATTTGTTCATCCATTTAAAAACACTAAGGTCACAATGACTTAATTGCTTCAGATTTCTAGGTATTTATGTTGCCTCCCACAATGAGACCCCTAAATTAATGATAATATTTATTTGTATATTGTATTTGTATTTGACTATTGAACGCATTTACGTCTAGAGCTGTCTCCACACCTTTTTTTCATCTTTCACGACATTGACATTTTTGGAGAACCTAATGGACTTTTTTGCCTCATGATGTAATTCAGATTAACCTTTTTTTTTTTTCTCAGTTCTAAGATCCCCCTGTGGATGCCTGAAACTGCAGGGAGTACAAGCCTGACTGCCGCCAATCAGAACAAGTTTCTGTTCAGATCTTCCACCCACGAATGTAATGTCTTTTTCATCTTAACTAAGCCCTTATCACGCACTGTGGTCATAACTTTTGCAGTTTGAAGTACAACAGCAAAACCAGCACAAAGTCTTTTTCTTTCTTCACAATTTCACAAACTATAAATTTTATTCTTAACACAGATTTTGGCAATCTCAGCAAATGATTTTGTTTCTTAAGTTCGAACTTTTGCCTTTTCGCTTAAAGGAGGCACGTTAGGGCTCTCTTTGGCATATCCGAATTGCCGGCATCACCGCGCTTGTGCTTTGGGGCCATTTTTTAGTAAAATAAAGGTTCCTTGAACACTGGCACTGCGATACCGGGACAGCCGATCTGATAAGCTAGACGGCGAGTGGGCTAGTGACTAACGGCCGGTGGTGGCTCCAGCATGGATACGCCGGACAAAGGGATGATTCACATCCTGAGCAGGGTGGAGTGGGACAGCGAGAGATGTCATTGCGCTGCTCAGAAGAGCGAGTGATTTAAAATTTGTGAATTGTTGCGGGACGGGGAGGGTCGCGCAGGCTGGGTTTCCGCTCCCATGGCCCGGGTGGTGCAGGGCACGTGGAGGCGCGGAGTCTCCCCATGGCCGCCGAAGGGGAAGCTCTTTAAGTTCCTAGGAATTTTAGGTGTTGAATATATTCCCTGTGCCCAGGATTCAATATTGTATGGTTCATTAGGATCTGTGTGGCTGGCTTTGGACATTTTTTTTTTTATTGTTAACTAGTAGAAGATCATGTGATGTTGGAGGAGGAGGATTTATCTCGGTGTTGTTGGGATGCTGGTTTCGTTGTAGGTATAATTATGCAAAGCAAAGAATTGCCAGAGAAGGAGTGAAAATTATTATATGAAAGTTCCCACCTTGACCTGAAAGAAATTGAACAATCTTGTGCATATATAGAAAACCAGACTCCCTGAAGTCAGTGAGAACAAAGCTAAGATCAACCACATAAAACATTTTATGTACAATAAGCTCTCAAGTAAATAAAGTTTAAGTTGTAAAATAAATAAATAAATAAAACTTATGAGTTGTTTATTTGTGGAATTTTAAATTTATCATTTTCAGGCTATGGCCGACAGCAGTAATTAATACTGAGGACAGTGGGACCACAGATAAGAGGATACCACTGTTATCACTTCAGAAGGCACATAACGAGAGTCTCATTATTTGTAAACCTAATTTTTCAAATATGTTTAAAAATTTTGTGGGTACAAAGTAGGCGTATGTATTTACAGGATATGTGAGATGTTTTGATACAGACATGCAATCATAACATTATGGAGAATGGGGTATCCACCCCCTCAAGCGTTTACCCTCTGTGTTACAAACATTAATACTCTTGGTTAATTTAAAATGTTCAATGAAGTTATTGTTGACTATAGTCAACTTGTTGTGCTATCAAATAGTAGGTCTTATTTATTCTTTCTATTTTTTTGTACCCATTAACCATCCCTAGCTCCCTCTGACAGCCCCGCCCCCCCCCCCCCCCCCCCCCCCCGCACCTTGCAACCACCGCCACTACCCTTCCCAAACTCCCATAACCATCCTACTGTGTCTCTCCATGAGTTCAATTGTTTGGATTTTTAGATCCTACAAATAATTGATAACATGAGATGTTTGTCTTTTATTTCATTTGACGTAAACCTAATTTTGATCATTTAGTTCAGGTGATGTCCAAAAGATCTCTCCAGTGTAGTTGATACATAATCTGCAAAATGATAGTTTGGTGCTGTGTAAATATCACATACCCAAGGACCTCTCACCCTATGGTCTTAGCATCCATTGATGATGTTGACTGAATTAGTTATAATGAAGGTCTTTACAAAAATAGTGATTATCTAATTCTATCATTCCTTCTCTCTCTATTAGCTGGCTTTCTTCCAGGAAGGCAAGCTGAAATCTTGGTTTATAACTGCGATAAACTGCATTTCAAGCAGCAGGAACTCTCCAACTGGAAATACAATGAAAAGCACAATGTGCAGGGCAAGGTCACTGCAATTCCAAAAATGGAAATCGACATAGTTTTGGTTCCCACTTCTCTTCCTCCTCCTCATGCTTTTTCTCCTCCAACTGCTCCATTTATCGAATACTTTGCTGCCAGTGTTGTGGTTTAACGGCTTTCAGCAGGCCAGGCACCTGGCTCTTGCCTGTAATCCCAGCACTTTGGGAGGCCAAGGTGGGTGGATCACATGGAGACCAGCCTGGGCAACATGGTGAAACCCTGTCTCTAGAAAAAAATTTTAAAAATTAGCTAGGCACGGTGGTGCACCCCTGTAGTCCCAGCTACTCAGAAAGCTGAGACCTGAGCCCAGGGGAGTCAAGGCTGCAGTGAGCTGTGATTGTGCCACTGCACTCCAGCCTGGACAACAGAGTGAAACCCTATCTCGAAAAAAAGAAAACCACAGTTGCTTTTTATACATAAAATCATTTAGTTGTTCCCAACAATCCTGAGATAGGAGATAGCAGGCCCGATTTTCAGAGGAGGAAATTGCAGCACAGAGAAGCCCAAGTTCATCCAGTGAGCGGCGACCCGGGATTTGAACTCAGATGCATTTGACTTCAAAAGTCATGTTCCCGCCCAGGCACATTCCTAAAGCACTGTATTTTTTTTTTTTTTTTAATGCACAGATAACAATCACAGCAATAGTAATCCTTGATTTTTGTTGATTGCTAAACAACCCTTCAGCCTTCTCTCTGAGTATTAGCGATGCATAGTGAAAAGGCCAGAAGAATTGCATCAAAATAGTGACTATGGTTTCATGGATCACTTTCATTTTTGTCTTTATACACTTACCTGTATTTCCCAATTTACCTACAGTGCACATGCATTGGTTGTGTGAGACAGATATATAAAGTGTTTTTAAAGAGAAATCGGGGTTGGGGCATTTATCTGACATAAATGTCAGACTCAGAAAAGCTCTCCCTGGGGATTGCCTGTCCCTATCAAAGCCTGGATCACAGGGTAGACCCACCAGTACATGGCTGGGCTTAGGTGCCAGCAAGAGGCAATCTAGCAATATATATGACTTATTCTACACCAAACCACTGGAGGAAAGAATATAATTCAACTGATGGCACATTGTCCCAGTGCCTTAGTCACAAACTGGCTTTATGACAAGACTCCAGGCAGCTGCCAAGGTCAGAGAAGCCTGAGCCTTGGACCTCAAATTGCATACAAAGTAAGCTCTAGACAAGGAAACATACGGGAAACAACTTTTGAGACTGATAAGGTAAGAAATGTGCAGTGCCAGTATAAGAGGATTGACCATCAGCCAGGAAGGTAAGATATAGAAGTTACCGGGCCTTCCAGAAATTTCTAAAAGGGAAGTCAGAATCACAGACCAGAAAGTCATTACTCTGAGTTTTTATGATTCTGGGCCTCTGTAACTTTGTTACTTTTGTTACTCAAACGTTTCCCTATAGTCTTCAGCAAAGGAAAAAAATGCCTTGAGAAGAAAAAAAGAATTAGTAGGGAGATAGAATTCCCGTATAAAACCACGAATACTTCTGAATGACAAAAAAAGAAATCACCATAAGACAGATCCAACACTAAAGATCCTGGAAGTCATTACTTCCATCTTTACAAGCAAAACAGTTGAACAAACTGAAAAGCAACAACTTTTCTTAGATCCTGCAGACCATAGCAGTCACAAGGCAAAGCGCCCGCCCTGAAAACAGAAAAGACAGAAGAATAAAGAGAAAGAACCACAACTTACCTTCCAGAAGCAGAAGCCACCCCGGAGCTGGCAACTTGGAGGGGCCCTTACATGGTAGTTGATAAGTTGCTGGAGGCTGAGTGTTTGGAGGAGCTTAAGTGTTATAGACTCCTGGGGTTCCTGTGGTAGGGAAGCCCCACATTTTCCTGGGGTTACCTCCAGGAAGGGCACCAGTTTCTCACTGTGAAGACAGGAGAAAAATCCCCAGGCTTCAGGCTAAAGGAGAGGAAAAGTAACCATTTAAAACCATGCCCAGTGGAAAAGTGGGAAAAGTAACCATTTTGAAAGCCTGGAGCATTCTGTTCTCCCTAAGTGTTCCCATCAAAGGATACTGCCTTATCAGCGCCTTATCAGCCCAAGGGGAAGGGCAATGAGCCTTTTAGTCTCCATCAGGGGAGAAAAAGAGAAAGGCCACAGCTCAGGGATTTAATTGTAAGATTTACACAATGCCTCTCCTCCCCGGTACCTTCTGGTATTAGTTTTCTAGAGCGGCCATAAAATACCACACACTGGGTGGCTGAACCAGCAGAGATGTACTATCTCACAGTTCTGGAGCCTGGAATTTCAAGCCAGTTGCTGTCCAGGCTACGCCCTCTCTGAAGGTGCTGGGAAGGAGCCTTCCTTGCCTACTCCTACTTTCTGGTGGTTGCTGGCAATTCTCAGCATTCTTTGGCTTGGAGCTGCCTCATTCCAACCTCTGCCTCTACCATCACATGGCCTTTTCTCTAGAGGGGAGCCAAAATTTGACCTCTACCTTATTAGGGTTTTCAATGGGGCCTGTGAATTAAACAGACATAAACAGATGAACAGGACTTTGAAGTGTACAAATGTATTTAATAAAAGCTTTATGTGACATGGGAGCCTTCAGAAGAAAACTGTCTTAGTCCAAAATGTGCTGTTATAACAGATTACCACAGACTAGATAATTTATAAAGAACAGAAATTTATTTCTCACAGTTCTGGAGCCTGAGAAGTTCAAGATCAAGGTACCAGCGGATTCATTGTCTTGTAAGAGTCCAGACTCTGATTTCAAGATGGCGCTTTGAATGGTGAGTCCTCCCGAGTGGATAAACGCTGTGTCCTCATGGTAGAAAAGCAGAGTGGGTGAATCCTTTCTATAGCATCACTAATTCATTTGTGAGAGTGGTGTTCTCATGACCTAAACACCTCCCAACACTGTTGCACTGGGAATTACATTTCCAATATATGAGTTTTGGGGGGCAGTAGACCTGAAGACCCAAAAAAATGTAATAGTTAAACATTTATATACTGAGTTGGGCAAAGAATAGTAAAACTGTGAAAATGTGATAAGGCAAAGGGGCTTGTGCTAAGGTGGGTAGAAAAGCGACAAGGAAGACAAGGGTCGTCAGGCTAAGAAAGTTTGTTTGTGCAGATTTCTCTCAGCTTCAGCTTTTTGTCCTTGATGATAAGTATGTTACTTTCCTCCTGGTATAGGGAAGATGTCTTCCATCTTCCTTCCAGGAGGATTTTACCTTACAGGAGGGTTTTGTCTTCGAAGAGGGTTTTATCTCCTGCTTTTAGGGGAAAAAATGTCAGGGGGAGGGCCAGAGTAACCTTCTTGCACCAGCTATTGAAGTGCTTAGTGCAAAATAATCCTTGGGCCAGAGTGACACATTTTGGGGTGAAATGTTCTGAATTCCTTCACCTCTGTGTCTTTGTCTCTGTGTATCCTCTCCTCTTTTTATAAGGCCATGTCATTGGATTTAAGGAGTTCTCTAATCCAGCAAGACCTCATCTTAATTTAAATACTTCCATCTGCAAAGACCCTACTTCCAAATAAACTCATATTCTGAGTTTCCAGGTGAACAGGAATTTGGGGGGTACAGGCACCTACATCAACAGGCTCTAGTATAATGAAAGTAGACTATAACTGAAAGAGTTATATAAAGTAGAGTTCTTGGCTAGGCGCAGTGGCTCACACCTGTAATCTCAACACTTCGGGAGGCCAAGGCAGGTGGATCACCTGAGGGCAGGTGTTCAAGACCAGCCTGGCCAACATGGTGAAACCCTGTCTCTGCTAAAAATACAAAAGTTAGCCAGGTGGGGTGGTGGGCACCTGTAATCCCAGATACTGAGGAAACTGAAGCAGGAGAATTGCTTGACCCTGAGAGGCAGAGATTGCCATAAGCCAAGATAGTGCCACTGCACTGAAGTCTGGGCAACAAGAGCAAAACTCCATTTCAAAAAAAAAAAAGTTCTTAGGAAACCCAAAACAATAGAGAGAAAAAAAAAACACCTGAAATTAGAGGAAACTAAAGCTTCTGGCACCTACAGCTATGAGAAACATTAAACACAGCTCAGCTCCTGGTCAGATTACCATAAAACCTCTCACTATAAATCCAGTTACCTTAGGTCCTATTATCATATACATCATGTCCAGCTTTCAACCAAAAAGTACAAAGCATGCTGAAAGACAGTTAAAAACTGTCAACTTAAATAACAGAGAGAGGCTCTCTAAAAGAAAAGGATATTTACTCAGGAATACAGCATTGCAAGGAGAACGTGTGTGCATAGTAAGCTGTATATTTAAGGAGGAAGAAAGGAGGATTATAAGGTTGTTTTGAAATGATTGTCTTTGGCTACAAGGGCCAATAACAAAGGTGATGCCAGTACAAGCTTGAACAGGCAATTTTACTGAGCAGATTTCCTTGCGCAAGTATTTTTTGTGTAAGGTTACGATGGCTTTTGTGCACGTTTTGGGTTTTGACAGAGTCTTTTGTGATAGTTTCGTTATCACACCAGTCACACAAAGACAAATACCGTATTATTTCACTTCGAAGGTGTCCTAGAGTAGTCATATTCATAGAGACGGAAAGTATAATTGGTTTTTGTTGCATGGGTATAGAATTTCAGTTTGAGCAGACAGAAGAGTTCTGAAGAGCTCTAATATGGATTGGTCTCCAAAATGAACTCACCATGGATGGCGGTGATGGCTGCACAACAAGCCACTGAACTACACACTTAAAAATAGTTAGGATGGTAATTTTTACACTATTTATATTTCACTGCAATAAAAATATTTTACCTTTGAAAAGTAAAGAAGTGAGAGAAGTAACGGGATGCAGCATACCACACAAACTCTAATCAAAGAAAGGTGGAGCAACTGTGTTAATTACAGATAAAGCAGACTTGAAAACAAGGAAAATGACAAGGGAGAAAGAGGAACAGATATAGGGATAAAGGAATCAATTCTCCAAGAAAATAGAATGATATTTGACATACATGTATATAACAATGTCAAAATATGTAAGACGAAAACTAGTAGAACTGCAAGGTGAATTAAAATACCCATTCTTACAGTTGGAGACCTCAGCACCCTTATATCAGTAGCCGACAAATCCAGAAAGGATATAGCTTAACTGAACAGCAGCGTCAATCAACAGGATATAGCAGACATTTATAAAGGAATTCATCCAACAGTAGAATACACATTCTTCTCATGCTTACCAGAAATATTCACCATGGTAGACCACATTCTGTGCCATATATGAAACATAAACAAGTTTAAAAGAATTGAAATCATACGAAGTATATTCTCAGACCACAATGGAATTAAACTAGAAATTAATAACAAAGGCTCGGCGCTGTGGCTCACACCTGTAATCCCAGCACTTTGGGAGGCCGAGGTGGGTGGATCATGAGGTCAAGAGATTGAGACCATCCTGGCCAACAGAGTGAAACCCCATCTCTACTAAAATATAAAAAATAAAATTAGCTGGGCATGGTGATGCACGTCTGTAGTCCCAGCTACTCAGGAGGCTAAGGCAGGAGAATTGCTTGAACCCAGGAGGCAGAGGTTGCAGTGAGCCGAGATCGTGCCACTGCAATCCAACCTGGCACCTGGCGACAGAGTGAGACTCTCTCAAAAAAACAAAAAAACAAAGACAACTGAAAAATTCCAAAATATTTGGAGATTACACAACACACTTCTAAATAATACATGGGTCAAAGAAGTCTCAATAGAAATTTTTTAAAGTTTAAACTAAATGAAAATGAAAATACAACTTACAAAATTTGTGAAGTGTGGCAAAAGAAATGCATAGAGGGAAGTTTATAGCATTAAATTAGCATATTAGAAATCTAAAATTAATAATCTAAGATTCCACCTGAAGAAACTAGAAAAAGAGTAATATAAACACAAAGCAAGCAGAAGAAAAGAAATAGTTAACAGAACAGAAATCAATGAACTTGAAAATAGGAAATTAGTAGAGAAAATCAGCAAAACCAAAAGCTGTTTAAAAAAAAAATCAATAAAATTGACAAACCTCTAGGTAGGCTAACTGAAGAGAGAGGGTACGAATTACTGACGTCAGAAAAGAAAGAGGGACAATCACTACAGATACAATGGACAGTAAGAGAACAACAAAGGACAATGTTAAGCAACTTATGCCCACGAATTTGATAACTTAGGTGAAATGGACCAGTTCCTTGAAATATACAGTCCACCAAAACTTACACAAGAAGAAATCAGTAATCTAAATAGGCCTGTATCTATTACAACCTTTCAAAATAGGAAGTACCCAGGACCAGATGGTTTCATTGGTGAATTCTAGCAACACTTAAGGGAACAGAAAGATACCAGTTCTCTAAAATTGCTTCCAGAAAACAGAAATCCAGAAAACACTTCCTAACTCATTCTGTGAAGCCAGCATTACCCTAATGCCAACACTGGATAAAGACATTGCAAGAAAAGAAAACTACAAACTAATATTATTCATGAACATAAATGCAAAAATCCTCAATGAAAAATTTACAAATCATTCAATAATATTTGTCCAACACTGAGATTTATTTCAGGTATTCAAGTCTGGCTCACATTGTAAAATCAATTTCTGTAATCCATCACATCAACAAGCTTAAAAAGAAAAATCATATGATTGCATCAATAAATACAGAAAAAGCATTTGGCAAAATTCAATACCCATTCATGATTAAAATACAACCCCAAATCCTCCGCAAACTAGGAATAGAGAGGAACTCCCTCAACCTGATGAGGAACAGCTACAAAAATGCCCTACATTTAACATCAGAAACTAGATGAACAAGTCAAGGATGTTCTCTCTCACCAGTCCTTTCTGTATCATACTGGAATTCCTAGCTTAATACACTAAGGAAATAAAAGATACGCAAATAGAGGAGAAAATAAAAATTACCTTTGTTTGCAGATGACACAATTGTCTATGTAGAAAATCCCAAAGAATCAACAAAGGAAGTCCTGAAACTAATTAACTGTAACAAGGTTGCAGGCTACAGGGTTAGTATACAAAAGTATTGCTTTCCTACACACCAGCAATGAATGATTGGAATTTGACATTTAAAATACAATACTATTTACTTCAGCACCAAAAATAATGTAAATGTTTAGGTGTGAATCTACCAAAGTATGTATAGGATCCACATGAAAATAACTATAAAAAGTCTGATGAAAGAAACCAAAGAAGATCTAAACAAAAGGAGAGCTATTTCATGTTCGTGGATAGAAGGACTCCATATTGTTTAAGATGTCAATTCCTCTCAACTTGATCTGTAGAATCAATGTGATCCTAGCAGGTTATTTGATGTATAAAGTTTATATGGAAAGGCAAAAGACTCAAAATAAAACACAATACTGAGAAAGAAGAACAAAGTTAGAGGACAGACACTATCCAAATTTAACTTACCATAAAGTTATTAAAAAAATAAAAGACAAATAGATCAACGCAACAGATTAAAGAGCCCAGAAATGGACCAACACAAATATAGTCAATTGATTGATCTTCATCAAAAAAGAAAAGGCAATTCAATGGAGAATTGAATTCGTCATTCAGCAATGGTACAGGACCAATTGGACATCCATATGCAGAACCAAAACCAAAAAAAGAATCCAGACAAAGACTTAATATCTTTCACAAAAATTAAAGCTAAATATAAAACACAAATTCTAAGGCCAGGTGCGGTGGCTCAAGCCTGTAATCCCAGCACTTTGGGAGGCCGAGGCGGGTGGATCACGAGGTCAAGAGATCCAGACCATCCTGGTCAACATGGTGAAACTCCGTCTCTACTAAAAATACAAAAAATTAGCTGGGCATGGTGGCACGTGCCTGTAATCCCAGCTACTCAGGAGGCTGAGGCAGGAGAATTGCCTGAACCCAGGAGGTGGAGGTTGCGGTGAGCCAAGATCGCGCCATTGCACTCCAGCCTGGGTAACAAGAGCGAAAAACTCTGTCTCAAAAAAAAAAACACAAATTCTAGAGGGTAACATGGGAGAAAACCTAAGTGACTTTGGGTTTGTTAATGTTTTTAGATAACACCAAAATTATAACCCATGAAAGAAAAAAATGATAAGTTGGACTTTATTAAAATTAAAAACTACTCTGTGAAAAACACTGTTACAGTTGAAACGGTCCCCAAGAAAATGTTGTAAAAGGAATTAAGGAGAAAAAGTAAAATTCAACTAGGCTTGCAGGACAAACAACAGTCATCATTAAGCCACTGACCTTTTGCCCACTTCCTCATAGCTGGTCACTGCTCACTACCCAGGATAGCATAGCCCTTGTCGCTCTTCGTTCTGTAGATAAACCTAAGGCAATGTGAGATAGTAAGCTCTCTCTCTGTTTACTCCTCTAGGTTCTGCATACAAACAGAATTACCGACGCCAGCTGGTCTGAAGGGCCTGGTGAGAAGCTGACTCATAGAAGAATGCAGTTTTCACATCCTGATGACTTCATCCCCTTCCCGGACCAATTGGCAATCCCTATTTTCCAGCCACTCACCTTTCACCATCACCCTAAAAACCCTTGCCCAGAACTCCTGACAAAAGAGACTTGAGGCTTGAGAATTCCTCCAGTTTCCTTGTTGGGTGAACTTGCAATTACTAAATTCTTTTTCTGCTGCAAACCTTGCTGTCTCAGTGTATTGGTCTGTTGCTGGCATACAAACCTGGCAGTCTTGTAAAAAAGATCATGAAAAGACAAGCCACACACAGACTGAGAGAAAATAGCGAGAGCACAGGGGATTTTTAACACAGTGAAATTATTCTGTATAATACCTTAATGGTAGATACATGACATTATGCATTTGTCCAAACTCACAGGACAGTACAACACAGAATTAATTTTAATATAAACTACAGACTTTAGAAAGTAAACTAAATCATCTTTAGTTAATAATAATAATATCATTATTTGTTCATTAATTGTAACAAATGTACCACAGTAGTACAAAATGTTAATAATAGGGGAATCTATGTGGGAGGGGGAGGACAGTATACCAGAACTCTCTGTATTACCTGCTCAATTTTCCCATAAAACTAAAACAATTTTTAAGAATCAGGGTTTTTTTTTTTGTTTTTGTTTTTGTTGTTGTTGTTGTTGTTGTTGTTTGAGTTGGAGTCTTTTGCCCATGCTGGAGTGCAGTGTCATGATCTCAGTTCACTGCAACCTCTGCCTGCCAGTTTCGATCAATTCTCCTGCCTCAGCCTCCTGAGCAGCTGGAATTACAGGCACCCGCCACTACACCTGGCTAATTTTTGTATTTTTAGTAGAGACGGGGTTTTGACATTTAAAATATCATACTATTTACTTCATCAAAAAAATTAAATGTTTAGGTGTGACTCTGCCAAAGTATGTATAGGATCCACAAGAAAATAACTATAAAAAGTCTGATGACAGAAATCATGTTGGCCAGTCTGGTCTCGAACTCCTGACCTCGGGTGATCCACCAGCCTTGGCCTCCCAAAGTGCTGGGATTACAGGCGTGAGCCAACGCACCTGGCCAAAAATAAAGTCTTTCTGTAAAGCAAAGTCAAAAGATAATGCCAAACTGAAAGGAAAAAAAAAAAAAATCTCACCACTGATATACAAGAAAATCAGTGAGAAAACGCTAACAAACCAACAGAAAAGGGGGAAGGGGGAGATGAACAGGTGGTTCACAAAAAAGGAAATACAATGATTTTTAAGCAATAGAAAATTGCTCAATCAATGTCACTTTTATTTATTTATTTATTTTTTAGACTGGGTCCTACTCTGTCGCCCAGACTGACGTGGAGTGGTGCCATCACAGCTCACTGCAGACTCTACCTCTTGAGAGGCTCAGGTGATCCTCCTGCCTCAGCCTCCTGAGTTGCTGGGACTAAAAGTGAGTGCCCCCATGCCCAGCTAATTTTTGTGTATTTTGTAGAGACAGAGTTTTACCATGTTGCCCTGGCTGATCTCAACTCCTGAGCTCAAGCAATCTGCCTGCCGCAGCCTCCCAAATTATTACGATTACAGGCGTCAGCCACCATGACCAGTCTCAATGTCACTCTTAATATGAAACATGCAGGATTAAAAGTACACTGAGGTACCAGTTTCCTCTTTCAGATTGGCACCCATTCAAAAGCCTGATAGCACATGACGTGAGTAAGGGGGGAATGGTACTCTGAAGCCTCATCGGTGGAAATGTAAATACGTACAATCCTAGTGGGGAAATTCCTGGTAATGCTAATCAAGATTGTAGCTGTGCAGGCCCTTTGACCCTACAGTTCTACACGAAGGAAGAATGTATCCTAGAGATATGCTCACACATGGAATGAAAAATCCACAGTTATTTACTGCAATATTGTTTATTACAAAAAGAGCAGAAACCACTCAAATGTCCATCGTTAAGAGACTGGTTAAAAAATGATGGGACATCCATGTAACGGAGTACCACGTAGCTGCAAGCAAGAAAAAGGAAACGCTTTATGAGCAAAAGTGGGATAAGCTCCAAAATATACTGTAGGAAAAAAAGCACAGAGAAGGGTGTATGGTGCACAATTGTTTATGAAAAGAAAGAAAGAAAGAAACCAAAGCCTTATTTATTTATTATTTATTCATTTATTTATTTATTGAGATAGAGTCTCGCTCTGTCGCCCAGGCTGGAATACAGTGGTGCAATCTCGGCTCACTGCAACCTCCACCTCCTGTGTTGAAGCGATCCTCCTGTGTCAGCTTCCTGAGTAGCTGGGATTATGGGCACACACCACCACGCCCAGCTAATATTTTTGTATTTTTAGTAGAGACGCAGTTTCACCTTGTTGGTCAGGTTGGTCTCGAACTCCTGACCTTGTGATCCACCCACCTCGGCCTCCCAAAGTGCTGGGATTACAGGTGTGAGCCACCATGCCTGGCACCTTATTTATCCTTATTTGGTTGTAGAGTTACTGTGGAGACAATCTCTAGAAAAATATCTTTGCAAAGACCCATAAGAAGCTGAAAGCCTGGTTGCCTTCAGGGAAAAAGAAAACAGGAACCCTGAGAACAGAATGGGAGGGGCACCTACTTTGAAGGGTATACATTTTTCAGGTCTTTTGGATGTTGCACTGTAGGGTCTGTGGTGGTTCTTTTGTTTGTTTTGGGAGGATTTGGTCTTTTTTTTCTTCTTCTCTTATGAGACGGGGTCTCAGTCTCCCAAGCTGGTGTGCAGTGGTGCAATCATGGCTCACTGTATCTCCCAGTCTCAAGCAATACTCCCATCTCAGCCTCCCAAGTAGCTGAGACTACAGGCACCTGCCATCTGCCCTGGCTTTTTTTTTTTTTTTTTAAGGAGACGGGAGCTCACTGTGTTGCCCAGGCTGGTCTCAACTACTTGGACTCAAGTGATCTGCCCGCCTCAGCCTCCCAAAGTGTTGGGATTACAGACATGAGCCACTGTGCCTGGCCTATATTGGCTCTTTTCTCCTCCGCAATCTGGGGACAGAGGCCAGACCCTGAATGAGGCTGCAGCTGCTGCTGCACTCAGACAAAAAGAGAAATCCTTACAGATGATGGTGGTGGCCTTAGGGCACCTGTCAGCACAGGAGTGCTTTTCATAAGCACTAAGTCATCTTCTCTGGTTTATGAGACAGGGAGTCACAAGAGGGAGAAGATGGCTCCCATGGCATGGGAGAGAGACTAAGTAAAATAGGCCTGTGGGCCCACCCACACCCACCCCCAACCTGGAGAGCCCGCAGTGGTCCTTGCTTTACTACCCAAGGGGTAAAGCTCAAAGCCTCTGCCCGGCATCCTGAGATCCGCTCCCAAGCAGCTTTCCGCTGCTCCCTTCTTCTGTTCCTGTAGGCTGCACAACGCCTATACCAAAATTCAACTCAATCTCAGTATTCAAGGAAGTCTGCTTTTCAGCTACACCTTCTGCCTTGGAAAGGCCCAAGACTCACTGGCCACTTGGAGGCAGGAGAATAGGGTCTGGAGGCAGGAAATCTAAGGCTGATTCATGCTGATTTCCTAGAACTAAATAGAAAGGAAAACCCCAACTTTCATACCTAAGTAACAAAAGGACCAAAGCCTATTCCCTTTGCCAACCACCCCCCTTTTCTGCTGGAAAATGGAAAGTACCTCTGATTGGTTACTTTCTGCAACCAATCAGATGTTTACATACGAGTGTAACTTCATAACTTCACTTTAGCCTCCGATTAGTTGCTTTCCAAAACCAATCAGACTGATTTCCAGCTACTACTTCATTTGCATGGAGTGAACACCATGTGGCCAATGGGAAACCTCTAGGGGATGTTTGGACCCCAAAAGATTCTGCAACTGGGCCCTTAAGACCCTATGATCTGGCCACTCCAACCCTGTGGAGTGTACTTCCGTTTTCAATAAATCTCTGCTTTTGTTGCTTCATTCTTTCCTTGCTTTGTTTGTGCGTTTTGCCAAATTCTTTGTTCAAAATGCCAAGAACATGGACACCCTCCACTGGTAGCAGCTTCGGTGCCTTGAAGCCCATCAGGGACCAGGTGGGCATATAAATGATCGTGATACAGAGCCCGCATGTCATCAGGAGTTACCCCAGCAAGGCAGGCTGTTCTGAGTCAGTGATAAGGCTGCATTTCACTTGCAATTATAGTTGAGCATGCAAGATGTGACAAGGAGTGAGAAAATATTACATGCTTTAGGTTTTGAAGTTCTATCAGTCCATTGAAGTATAAATGCACCATTACTATTGCTGGAGTAAAATGCGGCAATAATTAGTGATGATTGGGAAAGGTATTTATTTTATGTACCAAAACAATTATTAAGAGTGTCTCAACAGATAAATAAGGAAGTAGGTTGAGGGTTAAGATAATGCCTTAACTAGATAACTTGAAGAACAATAACACCTCTAGTCCTAGCTACTCAGGAGGCTGAGGTGGGAGGATTGCTTGAGCCCAGGAAGTTGAGGGTGCAGTGAGCCAAGATTGTGCCACTGCACTCCCTTCTGAGTGACAGAGCAAGACCCTGTAGCAAAAAAAATAAGAAGATCAATGTTTGTATCTTCTATGATGTGACACAATATGAAAATTTAAATGAGACTGTTAAGTAGATAGACATTAGACTTTATAACATCTAATCCTCATAAAAATTATTTGGTGTACTTGCACTTGTAACATTAAGCTAAATAAACTTTAGGATGGCTATTTAATTCTTAGTTATACAATTTAGCTATAGATTTGGTCCATAAGTCATTCCAGTAAGAGCCCAATTTGGGAATTCTTTTGTTGTTTTTGTTGTTGTTGTTTGAGACAGGGTCTTGCTCTGTCACCCAGGCTGAGTGCAATGGCATGATCACGGCTTACTGCACCCTAGACTTCCTGGGCTCAAGCAATCCTCCTGCCTCAGCCTCCTGAGTAGCTGGGACTACAGACACACACAACCATGCCTGGCTAATTTTAAATTTTTCTGTAGAGCTGAGATCTCACTATGCTGCCCAGGCTGGTCATGAACTCCTGGGCTCAAGAGATCTTCCCATCTTGGCCTCCCAAAATGTTGGGATTACAGGCAGGAGCCACCATGCCCAGCCTGGGAATCCTTTATATCTCAAAATTTTACGAGGAAGAAAAGTTTCAAAATCATGTTTAAAAAAATCCACGATTACATCTGATAAGGAATTAATATCCAAAATATATAGATAACTCCTAAAACTCAAAAACAAACAACACAATACAAAAATAAAAAACTTAAGTAGACATTTCTCTAGAGAAGAATGCCTAGCCAGGCATGGTGGCTCATGCCTATAAGCCTAATCCCAGCACTTTGAGAGGCCAAGATGGGAAGATCACTTGCAACCAGGAGTTCGAGACCAGCCTGAACAACATGGTGAAACCCAATCTCTATAAACAACTTAAAAA